CTAGGGTTAAAAACATAAAAAATAATTATCTAGGGTTAAAAAAATCATAAATAGACAACTTTCACACACCAATTTACAAATCTAATTTTTGTTAGATTTACATGTTCTTTCTCGGTACACTGGAGTTGAGTGTTCAGTAAGCATAAATACAGTTAAGGAAGTTTGTTCTAGTAGTCTAATTTACACACACACACACACCTGCATAAAACAGAAAGTGGATTTGAACTGTGCTCAGTCACAGAAAGTGAGACATTATTTTGTATTGTTCTTTAAGATTGTTTCAATAAACCTGTTTTTGACGCAAACTTTCTAGGGTGGCTGCTGTTTTTGCTTATTTTGACTAACTGTTACAACTCACCCCAGTATGTGTTACTACATAGCTCGGAAGTGGGGTAGATTGTGACAAAGGCACTCCATGTATTTGACATCTACTTGTAAAGGCTGTGATATTCTTGCAGATGTCTGAATTAGTTCCTTTTGTAGTAAACAAATTTGGGTGCTTTGTATAAAAGTTTGAACACTCTAGCTCAAATTCAGCTAGTTACAGATTTGAAACAAAAAGTGTTACAATCATACCCGGTCTAATAATAATAGGCCTAATAAAAATAAGAATGTCAGGCCTACATTAACTGGAAATGCCAAATATCTTAATATTGCCAACAATTTATGTTTTTGACAAGATCTCTGGCTATCGTCGATACAGGATCATCGTCTTTCGACACAACCCAACACAACAAGGGGAGGTTATTGCAGGGCCTTTCGCAGTGCGTGTCCTGCATGCCCGTCTGCTAACGTTACGCCACTGGGCAGACACGTTGCCTGTTACATCATTTGGGCTGCCTTGTTGAGTGCAGTGGCACTGAGAATGTCTCAGGTTACGCATATAACCATGGTTCATTGAGAATAGGGAACGAGACGCTGCGTCCTCTAGAGGGCGCTAGGGGAACACCTTCAGCGTGACCGGTGTCTAAAGCATGAATGAAAAAATGACAATGAACTTGACATTGACAGGCGGCAGCCTATGACGTAAACAATAAAGTGACTGCTGGGATAAAAGAGCACCTGCGGAATACGTCATCCACTTCTTTGTCTGAAGGAGATGCAGGCAGGAATGCCCGAAGCATGACAATGGGACGCAGCGTCTCGTTCCCTATTCTCAGGGAACCATGGTTACATGCGTAACCTGAGACGTTCCCTTTCTAAAGGAAACTCCACGCTGGGTCCTCTAGAGGGCTCTAGGGGAACGGTATAC